TCCGGCAATCCATCCATCTCCGTCTCCTACATCGCCGGCCTCTCCTTTTCTTTCTTTGTTCGTGTCTTATGCGCCGTCTTTTCTTATATCCTGCCGCTTGTTGATATCTGTTGTCGCTTCTGTATCTTGCCCGATCTGCTCCGTGTCTTTTTCCTCTCGTTCTTTTGGGGCCTCGTCTAGCCAGCTCCCCACCCCTCCTCGGTCCATTCTCCTGACGTTCCTGTCACGAGCTCGAACCCTTGATCTAAAGCCTTAACTCGAAACTAATATTCCCTCGGTGCCCATTTCCAGCGCAGCTGAATCATTTGCGACCAATCGCAATCGCTCTTATCGCCTAGAATCCCATCATCCTCGTCGCCTGCCACCGACGTCCCTTGAACCGCCACCCCTGGATCTGCTTGCGTGCGTACGATGCTATGGCTGCAGTAATTGGCGACTTCGCTCACGACCCTACGACGCCCTTCCATACCATGATCGCAAACCCGCCCCTACAACACCACCATCAACACCAACATCCTCGCGACTCCTCGCCTTATCGTCCCTCGAGCCGTTCGCGGCAGTCTTCTACCCCGCGCCCCCAGCGGCAAGGGTCCACCACCGACAAGGTGCCTGATTCCGAGTCTGACGCACAGAGACGAGCAAGGCAAGGCGTCTCTGATTCGCGACTCCCATCGCCGCCTTCGTCCTCGTCGCCTGCTGTCGTCTCCAACCCCAACCCAACCCACGATGGGAGAGAAGTGCATATGGCGTCCGATATAAGAGATTCTGCTACCAGCCATGGGCACCCTTCCTCCACATCCTCGGCCCCGCGCCAACCTCCCTTATCGCAGCAGCAGCAACCTTCACCGGCCTCCGATGATTTCTTGATAGCGAACCCAGCGGTCACGCCCGCGTTGGCTGCTCCGTCGAGGCAGACCGTCATCCATGTCCGTGACATTGCTCACATCAAGTCGCTAGCACAGTCCAATATGCTGGGAAACACAGGTTCTGGGTTGCTGGACGACCCCCCACTCCAACAGATGAAATATGATATTAGCGGTATGCCTATTGCCGACGTCATCGAGATGGTTGCGGCACTCCTCACAAAAATCACCTCCACCAACGATCTGCAGCATGATGCCATGCAACGCAACGTGTCGCATCAACAGCAAGCCAACCTGCCGAATGAGGCGGGGGGCGGCTCCCATATTGGCTCCATGAACCATTCCGTGCTCGCCTTTCACGGCAAGAATGTCCCCGCCATCACCATTCTTAGCTACCTTGCACGCATTCACAAATACTGCCCCACTACGTTTGAGGTGTTCCTGAGTTTGCTAGTGTACTTTGATCGCATGACGGAGCGCGTGAACTTCTTAGTGAGCCATGGTGACGAGGGAAATCCCATGAGATCAAGAGGACAGTCAAGGGCCACCTCGACATCCCGAACAGATGTGTCCATGCGGGAAAACCCAGAACCAGATGCTGCTGATGAGACCGACTCGGATCTTGCGGATGATGAGGATGAAGATGACGAGATGGAGGGATCAGCGGCGGGGTCGAACCGCCCCGATAGTGGGCGTCCTCTTCCCGAGGAGCTACCAAGTGCCCACGGACCGTCAACCTACTTCGTGGTCGACAGCTTCAATATCCATAGACTGATTATTGCTGGAGTGACCTGCTCCAGTAAATTTTTCTCGGACGTTTTTTACACCAACTCGAGATATGCCAAGGTTAGTCGCCGCGTACCCGATCCCGGCCCCCTTTCTGGACACCTCTCTAACATGTTCCTATTCTAGGTCGGTGGTCTCCCACTACCTGAGCTCAACCATCTCGAGCTGCAGTTCCTCGTTCTCAACGATTTCCGGCTAGCTGTGCCAGTGGAAGACCTGGAAGCTTATGCCACCATGCTGGTCGAGTTTTATGCTCGTGAGATTGCTTCCGAAAACCCAGCTGTGTGATACGTTTTAAAGAATAATGAAATAACTCGGAGATCTTTTTCACATGGGAGATCTCTTGCCTTGTTGGAATGACGACGATGTAAGAGGAGAGCTTCGCGGTTCGCACATCATATGGGAGACATGTGGATTTTTCAATATGGACGGGAAGGGTGAAACCTTTACCTCCCGCCAGGAACGGAGGGCATATGAAGCCACAGATTCCTGTATGGTGGCAACCACCTGGACATACTGTACGCGTCTTGTGTACACACGACCTGTTTATGACTGGAATTTTTTAAACCATTTTTATCCATCTCGGGGCAGGAAAGACAGGGGAGACCTGGGTAGGTGAGCAGTGGGCTGCCTGATAAACCCAGGTTGTTATGACTGGCGCCGGAGCGTTTGATGGATTGTGTTCACGCACCTAACAAACGGAAGACAAGAAAGGGGTTTCTCATCTGGGACTTTTAGTTGGTTAGACGTTTGGTTCCCCTCCTCTTGCCACTCTTGACGGGGACTTATATTTTTGCGGGAAAGGATTCGGGCTGGCAAGACATGACAGGCGAGGGACGGCAAAGGGGAGGTTCTCATTATTTTCCTTAGCCTCCACTGGCAAGTAGAGGAAGGTCGGGTAATTACTACATTTCTACAGGGGCGAACCATTGCAAAGGCGTTTGAAGGCGTTCATCGGGAAACGACTTAAAGAGAACTTAGTTGCCTGTTTATTTTCTTCCATTTCTGGGTTTGTTATGGTACTTTTTCCTCTCGCGCTTGCTGTGATTGTGGCTGTCGTTCGATCTGTTTTTGCCTCGTTGATCAAGTAACTGACCTCATCTATCGGTGAGAATTCAGCCTTCTCGACTATAATAACTGCTATTAATCCCTGAAACTAGCATAGGATAGTAATTACATTGTTGAACACCCTCTTTCGGTATTTCTCTCGTAGGCCAGCCAGTAAGACTTGCTTAGAGACCTGTGACTTATTACAACATTATAATCTCTAGGCGAAACGGCAAGCCGGCAAGACCTCTCAAGATGTTGCGGGTGAATAGGTCAGTCAACAAGTCAACGTCGATGTCTTGTAGAGGAAGATTGGCGTCCAAGTTGGTTCGGTCCAGATCCGGCGTTCGGGCACTGCCTTTGTTACCACTTCCATAACACTTGAAGATTGTTGATCGCTGCTGGCATTGTCGGATGCCTCTTGCTTGTCTGATTCATCTCCACTCGTCTAGTTACTCTGTCTCCCAGTGTAAAGGAGAGCTCATGGAGATGTAGGAGGGTCTCTCTTCTCATAAATGTAGCTACAAGAGTTGAGTTACCAAACTCTCAAGCTTCTAGGATTGGACTGGCTAGGGTTCGTTTTTCTCGCCTGATCTTTCTTGCAGATGACGAAACATTCTTTCACCAATGCTGCAGTTTGAAATCTCTTTCACAATTCTGGCTGAAACGATTTAGCAGCTTGTAAAATTTGAGCTTCTCCCTTGGTATCACCGGGGGAAAGATGAATGGAAATGTTCAGAAGCGGCGTATCGGACTTCGCCAGGTTCTACAAAAACAACGCAGGATCAGCATGTGAATTAAACTCGCTTCCCAAAAGAAATGCCAGATAACTGATCTGTGATAGGGCGTTGGCCCATGAAGAACAGCGCGTGGGCTCATGAAGAAATACGAATAAATAGGGTCGCCCCCATAATTCATAGAGTGATGGACTTTCGTCTTTTGGGATAATGTCAAGGGTGCGAATTAGATAGTTGTGGAAGCGGCAATTCTGGATTCCGCGGCATAAAGGGATTCCTTGACTTTGGGTTGTCGCAAGCGCCCATCCTTCTTTAATGCCAATCGGTTTTCCTGGAAGTTTAATAGATCCTATAGACTTGTTAGCCACCCAGATCGTACATGTCAAAGGTATACACTTACCACCAGTCATTCAGCCTCAATGGCCGTAGCTATCTCAAAGTAGATCTTCTTTCCAAACAGGCTTAAGCGGGTATATACAATCCACTCGTGGTTCCCGTTGATAAGACAGCTGTGTGGTGATAGGAGACCAGGAGTATTACCAGGAACAGTTCAGTATTCATCATTACCACCACTGTGGATAGTTGTGTGATGAGCAAAGGCAATTGCTAGAGCCTTAGGCACACTCTTCACATCTCTCTGTGATGCCATTGAGGGATTGAGCTTTGCCGTGCCCTGTAAGAAATTGCCCAACCTGTTCCTTGCACTGCGAATCTCTTCTAGTGCGTCAAAGTTGAGGAAGCTGTATTTGCACTAGTCATGAGGCTTCGTCTAGGGAGCTTTATCTTGTCAGCATTTCTCACGCTGATCTAAAACATATGGAAGGCGTTTGATAAAGCCATGTGGTCTGGTTGCGTGCAGTAGATTCCATTTAGTGGATGATATGGAGCTCTTTGCTGATGTTTGCTGTGGTTATTGCTGTGGTTATTGCTGTGGTTATTGCTGTGGTTATTGCTGTGGTTATTGCTGTGGTTATTGCTGTGGTTATTGCTGTGGTTATTGCTGTGGTTATTGCTGTGGTTATTGCTGTGGTTATTGCTGTGGTTATTGCTGTGGTTATTGCTGTGGTTATTGCTGTGGTTATTGCTGTGGTTATTGCTGTGGTTATTGCTGTGGTTGTGATGGTGAAATGTTGTTGTTCTAGGCAGGAAAGTTGAGGGAGATGTGCGAGGTTGACAGTAGGAGTGGTAGAATCATAACAATGGGACGTTGGTGGAACATCTGACCTCATATGCAGGCAAGCTGAGAACAATGTGAGCCAGCTGTGAGCAATGTGAGCCAGTTGTGGTCAGTGCGAGCTGATTACGCTTCTGGGTGAGGCCAATGTGAGCTGGCAGGCTTCCACTTGACCTCCATCTACCTCTCTGTAGGCCAGTCCTCCCCATTTCACCACAACACCAAACTTTCGTCACACTACAATCGCATCATAACCACAACAAAAACAACAAAAACTTGAAATCACCACACCAGACCTCATAGCAAGTAAGTGAAAATCAAGGATGGACCTCTTTCCATCAAAGCAGAGTCTTTCAAACCACCTGGCAACATAAAACTAACTTATCCATCAGAATGGCACGTTCCAACCAAGCCACCCAACCGAACCAAGGGTCAAGTTATGACCCCGAGTTCGAGAGCCGTATAGGCGTATATCGAAGGAGGCAACGACTACTCGTTGCCAGAAGCATCCACTTTCAAGCTTCTCGTGTAGACTTTGAGACAGCCTGCCGAGCCAAGCTCAGCAACCCGGACTCAGTCCAATTCTTCTGGCAGGAGTCCAACAACCGGAGGCACACCCACCGAGGCTGGGTCATGCTTGGGTTCGATACCCGAGAGAACTGTCGCCTGGCTCTGAACGAGCTTGCAAACTTCCGGGTCCGAAACCGGGATGTTAACATCAGCAAAGCGAGTAGGCGGGCTGTAAGTGGCACTGAGCTTATTACATTTCTGTGTGATACATACTAATGCCTAAATCATAGTTTGCTCCGACTGATCAAGCAACGCAAGGGTCATCTCTTGCCCAAGCCGCTGCTCCCGCCAACCCTGATGCAGCTCCTCCTCCCACCACGACAACCACCACCACCAGGACCACCACCAGGACCACCATCATTACCACCACCACCGCAGTTGAAGAGATTCCGACTGCCCCCGCCGCCGACATAATGACGGCTTTGGTTACTTATCTTGACCGCCCTTCGGCCCCTCAGTAGGCTATGACAGACGCCGCTCATTTGAGTAGGAAGAGAAAGAAGAACAAGAAAAGAACAAAAGAAAAAAAGTAAACCAAAAGAAAAACGAGGCAACTCGAATTTAATATACGGAGGCAACTCCTATATTATATTTTTCTTCATGGGCCAACGCCCTGTTCTTCATGGGCCAACCGCCCTCCCTCTTCGGTCGATTATCCGGGAAACCTCTTTGGGGTAGGTGGGTTCGACTCCCGCATCGATCAATGACCTCTATTTCCCAGAAGATAATACTGGACGGTTTGTGGTGTACTGCATCTTCAGATCAGAGGCTCCTGGTGGAGAGCCCAGCTTTCCACTATTACACAATCAACCTCCTACCAAGCGTCATATGTTCTACCTTGGCATGTCATTAGCACGCTGTAAATCATTGATTGTGAGTATCTTCTGCCAATTGCCAACTACCTTATCGAGCCTCGCGATTTCACTAAAGGACTATCTCCAGAGCAAAGTTGTTGCAAAAGTTTACAGAAAAACAACGCAAGATGCAAAAAAACTCTCGATCAGCCGTCATTGAGGTTTCATTGCAACCCTCTGAAACTCTCTATGAGTTAGACAACTTCAAAGAAGCTTTGATGGAGGCAAAGTGGGCTTTAAACATGAGAAACGGTGTATCGGGAAAGGGGAGCCCTGGCCTTTCTTCATTCATTTCGTGCATTTAGCTCAATATTATGTAGCCTTTGTGCTGCTTTCTGAACATGTCTACCGCCTCAACCAGATGGGAGATTTGCACCATCAATATCAACGACTCAGGTGCATTCATCCAAATGCAATATGGGGCTATATTGTGCGGGGCAGGACCGTTGCCGCTTCTCCATCAACTGCCCATTGCCTGAATCGGGAAAGCTCGGCAGCGTCCAAGCGATCTGCCGAGATCCGCAAGAAAGAGTTCATGTTGGAGAAGTGCTGCATCCGCTGCGTTTATTTCCACTGTTAATAGTCATCTTACTGACCTGCCATATCATACCTATATACATATCGTCCATTCACTCCGTCGCTGATGAGGTGCACGCACACGTAGCCTGCCATCCCCATCTGCATCCCCATCTCTCTCCCCGCACTATTTGACTCAACCCTCCCCCGGCATCATGACCTCCATCCCCATCGCGCAGGGCAACCCTGCCCACCTGCTTCCCCCAAGCTGGAAGACCCAAGTCACGGCATGGCTGGCCGAAGACACCCCATCTTTTGACTACGGCGGCTACGTGGTCGGTGATGGCGAGCGCACCGCCATCCTCTGGGGCAAGTCGGACGGCGTCATTGCCGGTCGCCCGTTCTTCGACGAGGTCTTCACCCAGTGCGGCTGCACCGTTGAGTGGCACGCCCAGGACGGCGACTCCATCGCCACCGGCCGCCACGACGGCGGCAAGATGAAGGTGGCCACCGTGCGCGGCCCCGTGCGCGGCATCCTGCTGGGCGAGCGCGTGGCCCTCAACACGCTGGCCCGGTGCTCCGGCATCGCCACCCGCAGCCACGAGCTGGTCGTCAAGCTCCGCGACGCCGGCTACCGCGGCATCCTCGCCGGCACGCGCAAGACCACCCCGGGCTTCCGCCTGGTGGAGAAGTACGGCATGCTGGTCGGGGGCGCCGACGCCCACAGGCACGACCTCAGCTCCATGGTGATGCTCAAGGACAACCACGTCTGGAGCCGCGGGAGCATCACCGACGCCGTGCGGGCCGCCAAGGCCGTGGCCGGGTTCAGCGTCAAGGTCGAGGTCGAGGTGCAGAGCGAGGCCGAGGCGGACGAGGCCATCGCCGCCGGGGCCGATGTGGTGATGCTGGACAACTTCGCGGGCGATGGCGTCAAGGTGGCTGCGAGCAGTCTGAAGACGAGGTGGCAGGGGAAGCACCACTTCCTGCTCGAGGTTTCTGGCGGCTTGAGGGCCGACAACGTGGAGCCATACGTGTGCAATGGTGAGTCTAGCGGTTACTACTACGACATACGCTGATTACTGACGATTTTTTGAACAGATGTTGATATCATCTCAACTAGCTCTATCCACCAGGGTGTACCTCATATTGACTTTTCGCTAAAAATTGAGCACTGAGCACAAGCATCTGGGTAAATTGGTCTAGATAGAGGAGGCAGTTCACATGTTGTATCATGACTCGTTCATTTCAGTGTGGTAGACAGACCAACACACGGATTGTTCGGGATAGGCATTACAAAGCTACATTTCAGCCACTTCCATCATATAAAGTATCTAAGCGCTTGGTCATCTGAGGAAGCATCCAGGTGGCTAGCTGAGCATATGATTATTGGTCAGATGATGCCGATTCGGAGATTGGCGCTGTCAGATGCCCAGGTGCAGGGTAGGCACTAATGATGGGATGGATGGAAAGGGAGACAAACCAGCAGTGATTGGAGGAATGTCAATGAATAATGACGGGTAAATCACCGATTAGAACCATAGCTTAATTTGGGCTCATTCAGTCACAACCTACGTCACTTGTCCACGGTACCCCGGATTGCTTTGGAGTGACCGACACCAGGCGGTCTGTCTCACGGCCTAGTAGGTACTGACATACTAGCAATGAGGTGCTTGGAGGGATCCAAGCTCATTAGTAATGCGACTTAGACGAACCCCTTGGAATGTCGAGACGGTCGTGGTTCTTGCCCAGAGTGTGCATTCCTTCCTTGGGGCTTACTTCACCCACCCAAGCAGTGAATGATGGTGCCAAAAGCATCGCGGCCAGCAGGTAGGTAGGTACAGTACCTCTTGGAGATATAATTATCTCGTTTATTTTGTATGCAACCCTGCACGCCCTAAGGGGGGAGGGATGCAACAGATGCAGATGCAGGTGCTGATGCAACGTCCTCCACCCTGGCCTAGGATTGAGTCAGTCGGAGTCAAAGCAGCCAGCGACCAACAGGCACGGGCTGACGCTGTGATTTGATTGATCTTGTCATCGTAACAGGCAGCGGGCGGTACTAAGAAGCAACAGGAGCAACAGCACTAGCCGCATCTCCCGCGCCTCAGACGGTGTTCGCTCTTCTCGCAAATCTCCGACCTCTCCGATGGGCCACCCACCTTTGCTTACCGCCCGTGATCCCCATTTCTTTTTTTCTTGCTCCCCGCGCCCTCTGATTCTGACTCTTGATTTACTCGTTTGTCGGTGATGCTCTGCTTCTGATACCTTTGTCCTGTCAAGCACAGATCCCCTACGACCCTCCCCTCCCCCCTCCTGCTCGCCCTCATCTCGAGATCCGCTGGGTGCTGGCCAATCACCCACCGCTCGATCCCCCACCCCAGATACCCTCCCGGCGAAACCCTTCCATTCGATCAGATTCAATCAACCCCAAATAAACCAAATCAACCATGACCCACGGCACCGCTACGGCTCCTCCCCATGTCTCGCGCGTCGCATCGCACACCTCGCACGCCTCGCACGCCTCGCATGCCGGCGCCGAGTTTGCCTACCCTCACGGCCATCTCGGGGCCCTGAGTGAACGTGAGGAGGAGGCATTGGCCAAATTCAAGACCTTGCTGGAAGAGAAGGGATACTGGAAGCCAGGCCCCCCGCCGTCGCACGATGACGCTACCCTGCTGTGCGTACCTTTCGCTTGATTTCATTGCGCTCCAATTGACTCGCCTCGAGCTGTTGTTTTACCGTTGCCCCCGTTGTTGCCTGCGCTACCGTGCTTTCTGTCCTGAGCTTGAACTTTATTCACTAACAAGCTTTTTGCCATCTGCAGCCGTTTCCTGCGCGCACGTCGGTGGGTGCCAGAAGATGCCTTTGGCCAGTTCAAGGACACCGAGGATTGGCGCCAAGGCAACGATGTAGATGTGCTCTACAGCACCATCGACCTCGAGGCCTACGAGCAGTGCCGTCGCCTTGTTCGTGCCCCCCCGTGACCTTCTCGTGCGCTGGTTAGCAAGACTAATGGAAACAATAATAGTACCCCCAATGGACAGGCCGACGCGACCGCCGTGGTATCCCTCTCTACGTGTTCCAGGTTAAGAACCTGGACCACAAGACCGTCTCCGAGTACGAGAAGCACGGTGCCAACAACACATTCTCCGAGGCCAAGACGGACGGCAAGACGCCGCCTAACCTGCTGCGCCTGTTCGCCCTCTACGAGAACCTGACCCGATTCGCCATGCCCCTGTGCACGGAGCTCAAGGACCGCGAGCACGCCGAGGCCCCCATCACCATGAGCACCAACATTGTCGACATCTCCGGTGTCGGCCTCAAGCAGTTCTGGAACCTCAAGAACCACATGCAGGCTGCCTCGCAGCTGGCCACCGCCCACTACCCCGAGACCCTGGACCGCATCTTCATCATCGGCGCGCCCTACTTCTTCAGCACCGTCTGGGGATGGATCAAGCGCTGGTTCGACCCCATCACCGTATCCAAGATCTTCGTCCTCAGCCACAGCGAGGTCAAGCCCACCCTCGAGAGCTTCATCGAGCCCCGGAACATCCCTAAGAAGTACGGTGGCGAGCTGGACTACACATTTGGCGAGCTGGGCGTGGCCGATCCCCACTGGGACGGCGTCATCACATGGGAGGACGGCTTCAACTCGTTCCCTGGAGGGCCCCTCCTCTGGGAGGACAGCGAGGACGGAAAGTCCATGACCTGCTATGGCCTGGGTGTCAAGGACGGCAAGAAGAGGAAGGAGAAGATCTGCACCTTGCCCAAGACGTATGAGGCACCCGCCCCGAAGCCGGCAACTAATGGAGTCTCCAAGGAGATCGAGGAGAAGACAGAAGAAGCCAAGCCTGCTGAGACGGTGATCAACGGAGAGGCTTTGGAGAAGCTCAAGATCAGCGACGAGAAGAAGGCTGAGGCTGCGAGCGAAGTGCCCCAGGCCCAGTCTGTCGCCGCCGCCTGAAGTTGACGAGCGCCAGCACCCGGGTTGGCTGCCTTGAGCGGCACCAACCCACCCATTACCACGAAATTCGACTCTACATAACATGAATTAGCAAATACCCACGTTTTCATCAAGGCGCCAGAGGAATCCCCGCAGAAGTTGATATCGCCTCTTAACGAGAGAAAGGGGAAAAGGGAAAGAGGAGGAAACACGCATGCACAAACGTTATCCATCGGCAATTATTAGCTTGCATAGATCTATAGAAACATCGGATACCTCGCACATGTCGCGGTCAGGGATCGTCTGATCCACTGCCGTCTAATCTCAAATATATTCTTTATTCCAACAGGCATTCTTTCTTCCAGTTCCCTCTAGTATTAAAAACCAGCTCCGCCGACAAAGGAGATTTAACATGATGGAGTCAATATCACCCCGTGAAATCAAAATTGCATGCCTCCTCCTTGCCATTGATGCCTACCCTCGACTCACTGCTGCTGCTGCTGGCCGTCACCATGCCCTCTCCTCCGCCTCCACTCCTGGATCCCATCCGCGACCGTTCCCCACGACACGCCCTCGCTCACGAGGTGCATCGTCACCCCCAGCGTCTCGGTATCCCTGTTCCGGGTCTCGTCGTCGAAGAAGAGCATGTCCTCGTACGCGACGCCCGTCCTGCGCTGCAGCGCCTCCATGTGCCGGACCTTGGACCCCGGGTAGATCTCGGTGCCGCCGTCGAAGGCGTCGAGGGCGCGGCGCTGCCTGCCCTCGACGCCGACGGGGAGGTGGAGCAGCTTGAGCAGGTCGCGGGCGAGGGAGGGCGCCGAGGTGCGGGAGGCGACGGCGAGCCTGGGGCGGTGGGCTGTGCCGAGGTGCGGGAGGGCGTGGAGGATGGGGGCGACGTCCGGGTAGAAGGCGAAGGACTCGCCGAGGCGGTCGGTGGCGGCGTTCTGCGGGTTGTTGTTGGCGGTGGTGGTGGGCTTGAGGGGCGGGGAGACGTGGCAGTCGACCCAGAAGGGCCACAGGGTGTAGTCGAGGTCGAAGATGATGAGTTTTGGGAGGGGGAGGGTCGGGTCGCGGAGGGAGGAGGGGAGGGATTCGAGGGTTGCGGGGAGGGAGGGGGCGGTTGTGCCTGGTGCGGAGGCGCGGGAGAGGCGCCGGGGCATCGTGAGGGAGGTTGTATGTTTTGTGTGTTGAGATGGTAACAGTTGGTTTGTTTATTGGCGAGATGAGATGCGTTCGCCTTTGTTTGGTGGGGGTTTGGTGGTACAATTGCGACGAGGTGGGGGATAAGCGATTGGCGATTGGGACTTGGGCAGGGGTGTTGATCGGTGGACGGAACCTCATGAACAGTGGCAGCTTTCAGCTACTTTAGTATTTACTATGGGTTTGCTGGCTGCCTGTTGGAAATAGGCAGCAGTAAAGGACTCGTGCTAGTTGATCCATGTTGTCTTGAACAAAGGACTGATGCCTAATTAATCAAGGTCTGAATGCTCATCAAGAACACCAAAGGAACACTCCCCTCGCTTTTATGAAGGTGTTCTTGGTAGGGGCGTAGTAATACCAGAAGACGTTGGCAACATAAAACGCAATACCGGACTTAGAGCGCCTCTATTGGGTGAATTATTTAATTAAAAGCACTCTCGACATGACTATGATAGATGACCTAGAGAATACTACAGCTCTCTAGCTGGCTGGGTGGATGACGGAGTGCTGACTTACAGGATGAAGGTATCCGTGTCTCCAAATGATACTAGGGTTGAATGAATTAATAAATGTGACATCTTTCGCCTCGTTTGACTCATCAGATCATTGCAAGTAGATTTATTTTAGCATAATATCAGGCAATGTCTACGGCGGGGTAGACTATAGGTGAAATCTGAAGGTTTGAAAAATCGACAGGTTTAAAGATGAAACGATTAAAGAACGAAAGTCCAAAGAACAACAGATTTAAACAACAAACGGTTGAAAAACGAACGCCTTGTAGTGATCAAAGTGGCGGTGTGTTTCTTACTATCCCGGCAGGTATCAGGGAGAAGGAAATATAGCCCGTAAAATCTGAGAATACCAGATAGCAATAAACCTAGACTCTCATCGATTCTGACACTGATACACGTCTACCCCACAGCAACAGCCGCGCATGCGCATATTGTGATACCGTGACCCTGAAAAAGATGAAGGGGGAGCTCCGTTCAACCCCCAGAATCTTGCTCGTGTTGGGACAAAGCAAAAGCAAAACCCCATACCAACCAGAAAAGCTTTTCAGCTCTTACATCTTATCCTTATTCTTATAACTTTTCTATCTGCTTACATTATCCCCCTCTTGTGCTCCAGGTGGTGGTAAGTCGATAAGGGCTACCTCATCCTCATTGTTCTGGCCGGATCGACCATTTCTATTCACTTCGTCCAACCCATCTACTAGTTCCCATTTGCCCTCGCTCGTTAGGGATAAGGCGGCAATCATACTCTTTGCCCTCTTCTCAAGTTCTGATAGCTCATGTTTGCTCCCTTGACCTCGGGATTCTGGATTGAAATACAGGACAGGGAGTATAGAGCTCTTCCAAAGCGGTTCGCGACCGCGTCGAATGACGGACCTAGTTACAGCATGAATAAAGAATCCGATTGTCATAAGCAGAAGTAAAGCAGGACCAAGAAGCCAGCGCCATTGAAATCTTGTACAGATTGTAGTGTAGTGTACATGGCCTTTGATGTAACCGCCTTCCGGATCAGGTTCGGGTCCTGAAGTATAGGCGGCGCGGAAATCCCTTTTTGCTGCTATTTCACGCATGCGGTCACTGATTGCGCTAGCAATTCTGCTCATGGTCTCGGAAGTCGTAGAAAATGATGCAAGACCGTCGTTAAATAGGCCATAAAGATTCCACGGCTGGCATTCAAGAAGGTCGACCCGTTGTGACAAACTAGGAGGACTGTGGGGAAGGAATGGGTATTCGCAATTGCCTTCGATCATCTTCAATGCGACGTCCATGACGAGCCTTCCAAGCTCGCTTGTGTGTGCGGTGCAATTGGCGCTCCAAGGAATATCGACCGTTTCGGTTCCTGGTCCACGCAACTCAACCTGAACTGATTCGTTGCTAACAGATTTAGTCCTTGCTGATGTGAGATCCAAAGTTTCAGAGCCAACGTCACAAACAGGTTTCTAGATGTGAATTCTGTCGTACAAACGGGTGTCGATATGTTGGAAAAAACCAGGACTGTCGGTGATGAGTGTTTCAGTTAATACACCGCTTTTCACGTCAACTTTATGATGCCTCATGCAAAAATAAAACGTGCAAGCTGCCGAGTAGACGTTAAATCTTGGTATCGACCATTCTTTGATAGCAGGGGGCCGAACACAATTTCTAACACGTGTAGTCCTGTTTTTATATTGACAACCATCTGATGTCAAACCGAGAAACGTGTAGTTGATGATGGATGCCCCGAAAACGTCTCGTAAATCACCATCAAAATTAGCTCGCGCCCATTCCAGGTCCTTCGAACCCTTTGATTCGATGGTGTTCGTAACATATCCAACAGATAGGGAGCCCGCTTCTTTAGGCAGCTCGACTCCTGTATCGTTGTCTGATCTGACATAGCTCGTAGTGTCAATACACCGCGAACAAATACCCATTGTCGAAAGGGCAATATCTACACGGATGGCAGGAAATGAACAGTTCCCTGTAGTACAACCCTGAAGCAGTGACGCCGAGCTCCTTGAGCTGCTGTTTGTGGATGCACGAACAATAGCCTCAGAAAATCCAATGTCCACCGTCCAGAGCGAGAGCCCATTTAACTTGTTATCGAACGTTTGAAAGTCGGCCCAGGAATAAGGGATGGTGGCTGAAGCGCCAGTGATATTCTTGATGCAAGGTTGGGTACTGGATGCCTGCTGCGTGAATGGTCCAATACTCAGAGACAGCACCATGATGAGACATCCAACGTAGATGTAAGAGCTGGAACTTTGAATCAGTTTTGTCTTTGCACCGAAGGAAGCTAGAGGAAGAGACTCACAACCATGCACGGAGCTGAGTTGGAAGTATGATCGAACCCCAGAGCCCTCTGCTGGCTTCATTGATGAAGCTCAGATGACTTATTGGTCGAGGCGTGAGCTGCCAAATCCATTTATGCTGGCTAATGGCTATATAGATTGATCAGATCAAGATGAAGTTTGTTATGTTCATTCTGCCTTACCTTCTTCAGCGATAGTAAGAATTTGGGCTCTGAGCAACGCTGATAGTAGAGCTATCAATGTGTTTAGGCTCATTCCAGATAGAGACCAGCCTGCCACTTCTTGGTCATGATTGTGATGCAAAACTCCGAATATTGCTCCCAGGAGCCCGCATGACATGAAGACAACAGTAAACTCTAACTGCCATTGCCAGAGAACTGGGAGTACACCACTTTGGCCTCTATGACCGGAAAAGGCCTGCACCTTGGTTGTCAAGCCGGATACAAGTTTCATTTTGACGCAGACCGGTGGCGGGGGCTTTTCTTACACGAAGCTCATGAGTGAATTATCAATACAGATGCCCTTATAAAAAACAAAAGGGACAAATAGTAAAGCTTTGTAGTCAGATTACATGAAAAGGGAGAGTGGAGAGGAGAGGGTATGAGAAGCGGGAGTTATACTTGTATCTTTTCTGCTGCTTTGCAGATAAAATAGTAATGTACTAGCCAACCATCTTCTTCCTTGAAAGGGTGTAAGCATGTTACTTTTCCTCCAAGTAGGCAAGCTACGTACGCCTTCTTGCATTCGCCGTGCACGCTGCTTACATTAGGGGAGTTTTCCTATAGGCCAGTAGCCGAACGTGTCTTGGTTAGTAAATAAGAGCTCAAGAAATGTTTTCACCGTATCACATCCCATTCCTCTTTTAGCGGTACTGTAATCTTTGATGTTTGTGACCCTCGAGAGTTGTACGATGCTGACAAGGGGCTTTTGTTGGAAGCCGGACCTCTTCCTACTAGCGAATTGGAATGCAGGCTTAAATCCTGCGATATGCCTTGAAAAGGGCCTATATATAGTTATTGCGGAACGTTTGTAATGAGTAAGGCCACAGTCTTTGCGCGACGATATACGTCAGGAAAGTCAGGGGCGTAGCATTTACCTTGACCTGGCCGGATAGCCAAGTGGCTGAAATAAAGCATGGCACACTAAAGACCTTTTTATGTAAGGTAGGAAGATAATAAATTATTCTATGACATTTAGCTTAATATTATGTCTATTACTAGATTGATTGTTTTGATATTATGTCGAAATTCAATGCTAGAAGGCTCTAAGTGTGCCATGTTTTATGTCAGTTGCTTGCCAAGCAGCGGATGCCCTTAATCATTACCGGATAGGAGCCTACTCTGTTAGTTTAGCATATGTTTGTCTATTGCGTTGAAATTAAGCTGCCTTTATGTTCATGTAGTCCCTATGGGCGCAATTGAGATGACCGTAGGCATAACTATGATCATCCTCTCCAGGCTCAAGAATCTCATGAGCGGCGCACGTCCGACGTCCTATTTCAACAATAGGATTTAGATGATATTGTTGCGTCATGATTCGAATAAAGGAGGGCTGCCTCGTTTCAAAAGAGGAGCTTATGTCTTTAGAGCGATGTGGACGAGGCTATAGAAGGAAAACCATTTGATACATGCATATCCCTATAGAAATACCAGTACGACAATCTTAGGTATAGAATTAATCCAAAAAATATTCCAGGAATTTCATGAGAAAAATTAAACGTTACTTCTCTTATAACTTGCTCCTCATCCAATTTACGGGTCATCAGTGGAGCTGCAAGCGTTCCTTGGAGGTCCAACAAGGCCACGGACTGCCAGGTACTCCCTCCGAAGATTGGTCCCGTGGATGTGCGAAGTTACGTTGCGAGCCCCGCGTCCGGCAACTTGTCCATCGGCATACGGGTGTCCCAGGTCATGATGGTATGCGGTCTTAGTCTGCTGACCGATGCGGAGGCGAACATTGGGAGCAGTGCAGTATAGCGGAGAAGGCCTCTCAACCAGCCAGCCGATGAAGAGAAAACAGATCTCGGTGAGGTGCCTAAAGCGGTGGCCCTGCTCTACTGCACGAAGCAACTCTGACGCCTGGTCGTATACTGCAGCGCCGCAGGAGTGGGTCTTGAGGTATTCCAGGTTCTCAGGGAGGCAATCAACCAGTCTCATGGCGCTCTCAAGTTCGAGAGGCATATATATATTCTCGTTGTTCTCCGGCTCAGCTGCGAGCATCCCCGTCAGGCACTGCATGCCTACTGTGAGCTTTCTGAGCGCGACCATCTTGCGGAGCCCCGTGCAAATACACAGGATGTCGTTGACCCGGTATCTACAGCCCTTATCCCGGTCCTCCTCTGTGTTGATGTAGAGCTCGGTGAGCGATTCAGCGTGGAGCAAGATGGACTCCAGAAGCTCCCGAGGCGCTGTCACCTCGGGCCTCCTCATGCTTGTGTAAGATATATATCAAACTTGCGAAGCGCTTTACAGGCATTGAGCAGCTTGGAGAGCGTCGAGGGGCGGATATAGGCGGATCGCAAAGTGATCTCTTCAACAAGGGAGAATCTGGGCGGCAGATGCCCGAACATCGCCTCACCCCTCAGGTCTCCAAAAGGCAGGTGGCACTGATAGTACCGGAGTCGGGGCAGGCCGAAGAGCATAGGCCATTTCTCACACCACCTAGTGTAGCAGAAGTATATGTCATTTCCCTCGTGGAAGACATCTTGGAGGTTGGACAGAGGGATCTTGGGGTCGATGCCTGGTTCAGGGGTGCGCGCATATACCCAGAAGAGATGGGCGAGAAATCCGAGCAGACGGATAAAGTGACCTCGCCTCCTGGACTCTTCGAACAGAAGAGCCCGAATGTTTGGGCAGACAAGCAGGATGAGACTGGCCTGGGCATCGGAGCACCCTTTCTCGAGATCTGCTATCCACTCAGCCCACCACTCACTGTGGTCCTCATCAGAGATGCGACCGAGTATACTGTCCATACGCTCTCGGCATACAGCAAGGTCAGCTTCCGCGCTGATGGCATTTGCCTCGTCGCTACCAGTCGTCGAGCAGCTGCCGAGGACGACAGTGTTCACATGCTGAGCAAGCCATGGTTTGGAGATGAGGATATAGTGTAGAAATTGTGCATTTCGCGAGGGGGAACAAGAGCTACCATCTTTGTAGGGATGAACGATGTTATGGAAAGTGCTGACGGATAGTGGGAGGGCGGCGTTGTAGAACGTTATGCAAGTCTTGAGGACGGCCTGGATGGATGGTGTGCCCGCAAGGTATGAGAAGACCTTGCTCAGGATCTCAGGTGGCAGGTCCGGCAGAGAGGGGCCACATGCTGTGTCATTCCCTGCCATTGTACTCTGTGCTTCTTCTGCGGTCGTTGTCTTTAGATTGTCTGCGGATAGAAAGGAAAGGTACCTTGGAGAACTTATATGTGAGCTCAAAACAAGGTGCAGCCAAGCGAAGGGTTGTTCAGCCTAAGGCACTAAACATCAAGGATGGATCCTCTTCGACAACCAATAATGAAATTCTCCAACCGGTCGGTTCCCCGTTTCCGAGTCGTGGATCCTGATGCCTTGCCCTTTTCGTAGTGCTATTGGCTGCGTATCTACCGTTGGTCACGCGACTGTTAATAGAGAAATTCGCGTGCTCGCGGCACTAACGATCAATGAATGCAATATGCAGTCAAATATGCCATCAAACCCCCGTAAATTCCCCTTTTAGAGCATAAAACTGAACGGATGTCTTTGCTGGGCACCATGGCAAGCGACTGACATAAAACATAGCACACCCGGAACCTCCAGCGTTGAGTTTCAACACAATATCGAAACAATTAAACATAATACTAAGCTAAATATCGTATAATAATTTATTATTTTCTTATTAATGTGCTGAGTATTATTAATACGAAAATGAGGTCCCTGCCTTGCATAAAAAGAGCTCTAGTGTGCCATGTTTTATTTCGGCTACTTACATGGCATTGCCTTTGTTGGTGGGAATCTTGGCCGGACCCTTCGCGACAAAACGAGGCTCATCGAATATCCGCGCTTACTTTTATCAGAACAAATAAAGTATTGTTTGTATATAGTGGATGGAGTAGGGCCTTGCCATCAAATCAAATTTGCAAATAGCAACGTAGTCCTCACCTATGATCGTTCACTGAATCAAGTGTTGAGCTTTGCGTGGTTACCTGAACCTCGAATTAGAAATCATGAATTGTTGGCAAGCGATGGGCATAGTGAGAGATGGAAAAGCATTGCAGGTCATAGATATCTGCGTACTGAAAGATTCCTGAGACCTTCACTCTACACTAGGTACTCCTTAATACTAGGGTATGGACACACTCACAAACAGTCCGGCTGCTGAGCGGCAAGTTCACCTTATCTAAATACCATCTACAGAATCCGCACCGGCGACAAGGCCAGAGGACCCGAGTCCGACTTCCCACCACCATCACCAGTACCATCCCTCCGGCGGACAGCTCCCGCACCGGCCACAGTCCTGTTCCCGGGCTTAAAGACGGAGCATCCGGCATCCCACGGCCCACAATCCTCCTCGCAAACCAGCTCGCCATCGGGCACGGTGCCCTGGTCGAAGAAATCCCGGATCGCCTCGTCGCGGCACCGGCTGGGCGCCGAGTTGAACGCCGTGTGCCCGCTGGACTCCTGGATCAGCAAGCCCGCGCCGGCGTGCTGCCTCTGCATGTTGCGGGCCGAGGCCAGGGGCGAGACGGGGTCCAGCCGCGTGCTGATGAAGAGCATGGGCGCCGCGGGCCGGTCCCTGGCCAGCGCGGCCGTGGCGGGGGGCGACTTGAAGGGGCCGGTGAAGCGGTTCTTGGGCCGGACGGGCCAGCTGGAGCAGGCGAACTGGATCTGGGCGACGGAGAAGCCGAACCACTTCGAGGTGGATGCCATCTTGTCCGCGTAGGATGTCCAGTACTCGAGGTCTTTGCCTGTGAGATCATCGGCGTCTAGGCAGTAGACGGCAGCCAGGGTGTCGAGCGAGTTGTCCATGGAGATGGGCGCCTTGCATGCTTGGTCGAGGGCAGGGTATTCGCCCATCTGGGCGAGGGCTTCCAGCAGCAATGTGTAGTTCCCTTGCATCGCGGAGGCCAATGTTAGGTCGAACAGCTCGTAGCTGGGTACAGGGTTATAAGCAATGGTGCCGAACAAAAGGCGGAAGTCATGCCCAGTGATGGTAGCCCTGCGGCCGTCAGACATGACAGCTCCAACGGGTTCGTGGTCAAGGCCCTCGATGAATGACTCGGCGCGGGCTTCAATATCGCTGGCGCACACATCTCCCTCTTTATACAACGCACATTTGGTCTTCGCTTTGAGGCAAAGGTCGAAGAAGTGGTCTGCACAGTTGTCCATGTTTTCCGTCGATGTGAGCCAGCCCTATACACACATGTTAGATTTCCCACACCGGCGAATGACTTTGAGAAAACTACTAGAAAGGGGTGCTTACAGGAGTGGCAATATAGTCCTCCATATCCACCACGCCATCAACAGCAATACGACCAACGTTCCCAGGATAGCGAGAGGCAAACATCTGGCCGATGACAGTCCCATATGAGAATCCATAGAACTGCAGCCGGGCCTCAGTCGTGTTGCTGGAGGTCATGTTCCCACGACGAGGAACTTCGACGAGCTCAACCATATGCTTCAGATCATCCACCACGTCGACTGTGCCAATATAGGGGAGGATATCTAGACCATGGTCCATCTCCCACTTGCACTTGAGGCCCACGCCCTGAAAGATACCCAAGGCGTAGGCGACTGAATTGCGACCCATATCGAGCGCATGGTAGCCACGACTCTCGAGATTATAGGAGCTGACATCGTACGGCCTGTGGAGACACTCAACCTTGGGAACGCTGTTACCGATCCCTCGGGGGTCCCAGCTGACGATCTCATAATGCCTCTTCCCGGGCTTGTCGACAGTCTGCTGAAGATACTCGCCGGCCGACAAGATCATCAGTGTGCCCGAGTGGCCCGGGCCGCCGGGGTTGGCGAAGATGCTGCCGCCAAACGCAGGGTCGTCCTCGGGGACGACGGCGGGCAGTTTCTGTACGGCAAGGGTCATGAATCTTTCGTCCGACCTGTCCTGCCAGTCGTACGGCACCAGCAGACGGGCGCATTCGAACTGCTTCATGCAGCTTTGCCATACCAGCTCCTTGCTGGGTGTGATGGTGGTCCAGTTGAAAACGGCTTGGCCGGCCGCGAGGGTCGCACCGGCTACAAGCACTGCCAGGTTTGGCTTCCGTAAGGGGAACATGATTGCGGTTTTTTGTTCTTTCGGAATTGAAAGTTCGAAAAGGTAATGATCTAGAGGAAAGCAGAGAAGTAATGAGCTAAATAAATATGAATAAATGAAGCCCCAGGTCAGGAGTTATTCGTAAGGGAACTACATAGGATTGTCTCTGAACTCACTTGGGAGCAGCTGTGAGCCGCGTAACGCATTACATCGTCAAGTAACAATCCGAAACAAACAAAGCTGAAAAGGAACTACAATCACTGAGTGTGACGATATACCGGAGAACTCAGCTCTTCCGTCCATATTCCCCTTGTTGAGCGCAGCAGCCCAACCTACATGCAAGCAGCCTGCAGAGTGGAGAGCCACATCATCGCCCAGAGGTTGGACAAAGCCACTGACATGTTCAGGAACCTTGGCCATGCTGCCGTTTTTCTCAAAGAGCATACCGGAACAATGGCCTTGTGTTCTTTTGAGTGTTAAAAGTTTACGCAGGGGCCTCTTGACCGCGCGTCTGCCCTCACCACGCACTCTTAATCACAGAGCAGTTTGACTCGAACAAAACGAATGTGAATCTCACTCCATTTTCTAGATAATCATCTATGCTGACAAAAAAAAGCCCAACTTTTCTGTAGCCTCAGTCCTCTATGACTTAGTCATGGACACCAGTTTCCTACTCCAAACAGACTTTCCAAACATGTTACCAAAAAGCACACAAAAAAAAGATTCTGGCAGAGCCAAGCAAGAATATCCAAACAAGTAACTCATTCAGGCCCAGGGGCTAGCTTACCCGGCTGCTTGCATGTCTGCTTGCACGCCTCGCAAATTTCAGTCGAGTAGTACCTCGCATTATCGAACTTTAATACCTTGTTTTTGCAGTCCTGTTTGCTGTTGCCATTGTTCGGGTTCATGCCGTAACGCGCCACCATCATCCGGTTAGGGTCCTCGTTGATGAACCAGCCCATGCACATCCCCGAGATGCGATAGTACTCGATCACGCGGAGCGTGTGACCGCCCGACTCCACGTTTTCGAAATTGTCGTCTTGGATCTCGGGGTTCAGTTGCTTGCACTCGACGTCGTTGCACCCGCACTGCTCGATCTGGAGGCGGAAAGTACACATGGTGGCGGCTGGCGAGGTGCGGAGATGGTGATGAATATCAAGATCAAGTTGTGAGAGGAGCGGCGGATCAGCCTGGATTTTTTTATATAGACTCCTTTTCCTTGTGATATAAGCCAGTTGATTAACGTTGGAACACGGTAGGCTCGAATAAATATATGAGAAAGCGAATGGGAAAGGCAGTAATGACTTTCTTTAGAAGTGGACATCTTGGATTTTATACCTGAACCTTTGATAGCATGTTCGTGAATTGGTGATTCGACGCCAGCGATTCACTGTCTCTACCAACTCCTTAGATCGCACGCTCATGAAAGCCTCCATATGCGCGATGGACCGGGGGGGAGAAAATACGTGGTGTATGAAAGGGGATGTCAACGGCATGTGAGCAAGAAACCTGGGAAATGGAGGTGACTATTCTGTTTCCAAAATAGTCATTCTATGAGGTGAGGGTGGAGGTGGTGGAGGTAGATTTGATATAAAACAAACAATTTTGGCACTATACATACCCAGCAAGCAAGTATCTCAACACGGCTATATTGAAATAAAATTTATTCAAAGAATCATTTAGATGCGTACATGCTAGCCTCGCCGATTCGAGGCTTGACTGATTCTTTGTCGCTGTCCTGAAACACTTGGGCAAAGATGCTGTCCAGCCGTTGGAGCACCTCATCACCATTGTGTGCAACCTGATAGTGTAGCACGAGCCTCCCGCCCCATAATGCGAGCCCGAATTTTTCACCCAGCTCGATGAAACGCTTGACACTGCAGCCAGCCGCGTCGATGTCAAGCCAGACCATGTTGGTGTGAGCTGGGTGAACGAGCTCACCACCATAACTTCTCCAGAGAGACTCGACCTTCTTCGCGAACTCATGAGTATGCTTGAGCAGCCCATCACTGCCGTCTGCCTTCGTCCCAAAGGTCTCGTCAACAGCAACCCGAGCTGCTGCAGTGATCATTCCCGGCTGCCGGAGACCGCCCCCGATGGACTTGCGAACCCAACGAGAGTGCTTTATTGCTTCTTTCGTGCCCACTAAAATACTCCCGACTGGTGCGCCGAGACCCTTGGAAAAGCAAAGGCTGACAGTATCGAAGTGTGAACAAAACTCAGGGAGCGAGCCTGCTCCTGCCGCTACAGCTTCCCAGAGCCGGGCACCATCGCAATGGATCTTGATACCGTTGTCTCGTGCGAACTTTGAGATGCGGCGAATCTCATCCAACGGCATTATCATGCCATTCAGAGTGTTCTCAAGACTGATAAGCTTTGTTGGACAAGCATGAACGTCGTCACTCAACACTATGTTGGCTTGGATATCCTCGAGAGTGAGGTGGATACCGTTGCTGGGAACGACAGTCTTGACCAAAGCGCCGCATAACACGGCGACGCTGTGCGATTTCGAAGGTTAGCCAGAAATGAATCTTACACAATAGTCATCGAGGCCAGGAGAAGGACAATAACCGTACCCGCCTGCTTCATATTGCACAATGTGCGAGCGATGATCACACAGAACCCCATGAGGTGGCTGCGTAAGGTTCGTACGCATTGCCAGCTGGTTGCTCATGGTCCCCGAGAGAACAAACAATCCTGCTTCTTTACCTACCAGTGCCGCGCAGTGGGACTCGAGGTCATTGGTAGAGGCATCTTCTTGAACAACGTCATCTCGCAAGGTGCAGGACTGTACCGCCGCGAGCATAGCCGGTGTCGGCGTCGTCATGGTGTCGCCTGGATTCCAATATCCGTCAGAACTTCTAACTCTCTCGAACGGATGGGGGGTTAAGGGGGGGTTAGGATTCTTGGAGTACTTCTTAAATCAAACGCCCCGGCGCCTTTGGAGCCCAGCCAAGTGTTGCGGCTTCTGTTCTCAAGAGACATGACTACCCTTGATGTTGTGAATGCTCGAGTCGCAATTGCCAGTTCACCAGCCCCTGATGGTCGCCATACTGGGCGAGATATCCGGGCCCACGGCGAGGAGCGCAACGCAAGTCGGTTCATCATGACTGTTGGGTATTTGGACAACCGTTTGCTTCTTCCAAAGAGTATGTAACCCGCGATAACCTCCCACCCAGACTAGACTCGAGAGCCGACGATGGTGGAGACGATCCATCCCACCCTTCACGAGGTATCCCACCTTTCACGAGGGGCCCTCAGAGCCGACTGTGGAGAAGGCTTAAAGCTTCTAGCCGGTAGTAGCATTTTGAAATTCGCTTCTGCTTGGCCATTGTTACCCTGCACGTAGCAACGGTATTGAATGTAGTTCGACAGTACATAATCCCAAGAAGATGGTGTGGTGCATGTGTAAATGCTATTTCTCAGCCAACCTATACTGTCGGCTTCTGGCGGCGAATATGCATGAGGAAGATATAATAGAGTACTGCTTTTGAGGCAGTCATCTGCTCACTCAAAACCAGTCAAGTGACTTCATTTGCTTCGCTGGACCACTGATCGGCCACACCTCTCCTCGCGCTTCCATTCTGAGTGGAACGGGGGGAATCAGTCCAGTGGTAGTTTTTGCGTGAGGAGTCGAGGTTTGGGGAGCAGAAAGCCGTCCCAGGAACAAGCGAGCTGGAGGTTGGCTTTGAGGTGTGAGACCCAGCTGCACTCGGCATGATCAGCATCAAACTGGAGGTGGGCATCAGTGAGGGGCAGACACAAGTCGGCGGGGGAATTAGCACTCTCATGAGTCAAGGCACTTCTCGAAATCAACCGTGCGCTGTTTTCGGACGGGGCAAAAGAATATCTAGTGTGATTCATACGAAGCCGTCTTTGGTCGACGATTCGTCCAAGACAATCGGCCAGCGCTCCAATGAAGAGCTTGCATCCACTCTAGGGCAAATTGGACTCGAGCCGCGCTGCTAGAAACAAAACCCACTGGTGCTTAACAGCTGGATTACATATACATGAAAGGGGAATGAAGCACGTCCAAAAGCTGCGTCTTCCCTTTAATTTCCAATTGCCTTGCGGCTGGGGCAATCCATTCGTTTCCGATCTGCTGGCAGCAACTACTACCGACGTGTTCCTGCCTGCGCATCTATGCCCTTTCGCTCCTTCCCCTCCTTCGCAAGCCCATCCCGTTTGGACGTCACCGGCCCACCTGGCTCGGTCTATCTGTCAATCAGAACCTGCCCATCGTCGTCAGCCTTGCCTTGCTTCGCTGTGCGAGTGCTGGCAGACGCTGCCCAAAGCGTCTTTTACTAATGTTTCCTCCTTTTGTTATTTTTCTACCGCCTGTCTGGGCTGAGTGAGATGCATGGCTGCCCTGTTCTTGTCTTGCCTAAGACTCGCACTTGCTCCTGCCTGATACCAGTAGGTACCTGATTCGTGCCTGCCACTTTGCTGGACTCGCTCCCATTTGGGGCAAACAGCATTTCACGTTGTACCAAAGCCCCCAAAATTCTTTCTTGGACAACCGGCACTGCCGTGAATAATGCGAGAACCCGCCACACCACAATTTCGTATTGAAAATTACAGATATCACGGCACAGAATGTCTGTCTCCAGGTCCCCCGGTGACTCGCCCAGGTTTGGCCGGTGAGATGGCTTTCGGCTGGGTCGCGCCGTTCCCTGCGCAATGCGTTGGCATGCTGCAACCAAAGGCAAAAAAGGAACCACCACCCTCCCCGGCAGTCCAATTTGCTCCCCTCTTCGTTCAATTGTTCTATAGCGATCTCGCTCCCTCGGGACCAGTGGACCGACAAGTTGATCAGGGAGCAATTCACAATTAGACGCCAGCTTGCTTGCTGAACTACGGTACCCATCCATCCACCCCCCAACACCTGGTTTGCACACACATGCACGCGCGCACACACACTCTCTCACTACAGACACGTACAAGCACACACACTCACACACTGGCACAGAACTGGCGGACAAGAGTAGGTAAGAAAAAAAGAGCAAAGAGCGGGCAAGACACAGCACTCTAGTGCGACTACATCAGACGAGTGTTCGCTACCCAACTTGCGACAAGGCAGATGAGAGTGGAGAGAAGTCCAGCCAAGGACCGCTCGGGGCCAAATGCCTGTCCGTCTACCGCTACACGTACACAGACATCACCGCTGCTAGGCTGGCTGCAGGCAATAGTTACTCCCTACAGTACGTTCCTTGACCTCTGCGGATGCGTGCGCCCAGATGAGGATTTGCCAACTCATCAAAAGTGGTCCGTGTGTCGCCCTGAAATGGGAAGTCTCGACCTCAATCCTCTTCGCTGCCCACCCCCGACTCGATCTGTTTCATTTATTTCCTCGCCTTCTGCTCTCTCAGTCTTTTCCCCTACTCAATAAATTATTTGTTTATATTCCTGTGGTCCCCTTTTCGCCCCGAACCATTTCGTGCTCCGCAGCGGCTCTGCCTTGTGCCAAGGGAATCCCTTCATCCTCAGCCTCTCCCGCCTTGTCCTTCTTTTCCAACTTCCCCAAATTCAGGCCAAGCCTGTCCCGTTTGGGAAAACCCCCAGCATACAATAAATGCAAAGGGATATTCGGTCAGCGCTCTCTGCGATATGCATGGCATTATGCCAACAGAAATCCGTCGGTGAGACGAAGATATACATGTACTCTCACCTCGCTTTTGAGTCTCATATTTGACACACATTCGCTCGCTCTCTTTCTTTCTCACACGAACCCCCCTTTCGCTGGATACGACAGCGGTTATCAGATAACACCAGGTCTAAATGCTGGTATACACTTCGGGGAACATGTCTATTTATGCCATAAAATCAATGGTATACATGGCTGTATGCATCATCTTGCCCGCGACAACTATAGCCTTCTCATCCAAACCGGACCATTTTAGTACAAACGACGACACCTGCTATCTGAAAGGGGGTTATTTAGACCTCAGGAAAGGATCGACTGATCCATTACACCATCATCATATCCTCTACCTACAAATTTATCTCTCTCAGGATTCGCAAACTCCCATCCTAGCCAGGACAACTGGCAGCATATCTATGGAAGGGCCTTTGCTGTCCGAAACACCATGGATAATCCCCTAACCCCGGACTTGAGTGT